CCGTCCTGGGGATATTCAGGCTTGCTTAGAAATGGAGGAGTACCATACCGATTTCGCCGTATACGTACTTTCGATCGATATCGCTATCGATCCCGTTCTTGGCAATATGATGCGCCGTGAATCCCTAGACATTAGGAAGGAACACATACGTGCCAAACGTGTTGTGCTGTCAGGAGGAGGGCCCCCGTGCGAAACATGGGCTGCCATGCGCTGGGCCCTTGACAAGGGCCCCCCCACCACTACGTTCCCACGACGATTTCTGGGGCCTGCTATCGGTTACGCCGCGCCAGATGGAACAGCTACGTGTGGGCAATGAGCTCCTTGGAGCCATGATTGAGCTTTTCGCCGAACATTTGATTGTGGGCACTTGCTGCTGGATGGAGCATCCCATGCCAGCCGACTGGAGACAGGCAGCAGTGAGTTCTTTCTTTTGCCCCCCCCCCCTACGGGCCATCATGGCCTCCCCAGCCGCGACCGTGACAGACTTCGACCAATGCGAACACGGCCAGGTTGCTCGAGCTCCCACCCGCATTCTGGCGCTGCGGATGGAAACCCTTTCTGGCAGGCTTCTGGAGACCCCAGGTCGTGGAAGATGTTCTCACGGACGGGGGGCCCACGAGGTGCTCATGGGGTTCGATCGGGCCCGAGACGAGTGGCGTACTGCCAAGAAGAAGACATACCCTCCTGCTCTATGTCGAGCATTGGCCGACGGTATCACAGACGCGATCAACCATATGTGTGCGGCGTGTGGAGACGATACACTGCCAGAGGACATGAGGGAGGAGGAGGAGGAGTTTCGTGGGTCCCTGTCAGCTTTTTATGTAGCATGGGACCCATATCTCGGTACTGACGAGTCTTGGGCGCCCGATTTTGTCGATTCTCGGTCCCGGAAGGTGCGTGCCGATCCAGAGCGACACAGGTTCCTCCCCCCCGAATCGCCAGCCACCGAGTTTGCAGACGCAGGCGTTGTGTATGATTCCACTGCGGAGCCGCGGGACCCCGGCCCGATCGAGGCCTCAGAGGAACAGGAATATGCAGATGTACTTGCTTTCCTGGATGGCATTGAGTTGCCACCACCTGGCTCGCTTGCTCCGCCCCTTGTACCCGTTTCCCAATCTCCGTGACCCCCGCCGCCCCCACAGCCCGTTGAGATTACACCAGAGTTGCGTGCCCTAATTGCTACCAAGCGTGCGCAAGCTAGAGAGCGACGTCGGATTCGACTCGCTCAGCGAATAGCCCCATGGACTTTCCAACCCGATTTCGGGGCAGGGCTGTTTGATAATGCGCATGAGTAAATAGGATGTTGGGCGGAGGGCCTCAGGAGTAGGTAGTGGATGGGTAAGGGATTGCTTTCTCAGTCAGGCACTTTGTCAGCCCTGGCCTTGCTCTCACAAATGTTTCGTCTTTCGAGCCTCGCGTTGCCTCTTTTATCCCACCTTATTAGATGCTCACAGACACCCGCGCCACGCACACGGCACTTGGGTGGACCACCGTCTTGGGTGGTGACAGGCTAGCAGGCTGACAGTGGGGTACTTGTGCGGCCGTGCTTTGATCTCTCCGCCTATGTTGCCAGTGTTTCGAGCTTGGCGAAGTCCTTGCTTGTGGCTGGTGCTATGGTTAATGCGTGCCCTCCTCGTTTGGGTAGTCCCGTGGCGGTATACAGATAACCCCCAGCTCAACCGTCAGTTTCGAGCTGAGCTGGAATCACGTCCGCTGAATGAGCTTGCATCCCATAGCCGTCTGACCTCCAGAGTTGCGCCACAGCAGGCCTAACTTTCGTGTGGATCAGTTTTTTCTGCAGGCAGCCTCTCTTGGACCATGGATGTGTGTCTGTCGGCCACCTTCAGTTTCCAGGAGTATCCGATTGCAGCAGTTTCAGGTGATTTTTGTTGCATGGGGGGAACGTTGGGTGATGGGATTGGTTGGTCGGGCAGCGGAGGTTTTAGCAGCGAGGCAGTGTAGCAACAGTCAGAGAGAGCGGCAGCCCGCCTCTCTTGCTCTCTCGCGCGCACGCCTGCCTGCATGTGCTGTCCCGCCCGCTTGCCCACTCTCTCGCTGACAATAAATTTCAGACAGTGCGTAACAGGTTTCACTGAAAGCAGTTGACGTGCGCACTGTAGACAGCTCGAGAGTCAGCGTGGTCGGCCGAACCGAGGGTCGAACCGTGAGGGGAGGGGGCCATAGTGGGCGCTCCGAAAGGAACTCGCGAAGCCCCCGCCCCACAGCGGCGCTTGCCGAGGTAAAGTCGTTGAGTGCAGCTGTTTTGAGAGCTGACAGCGGTCGAGGAGATCGCAACATGTATTCGGGAGGGGGTGGAGTATGTCAGGTTGGGCGGACGTGCTGAGTTCAGAGAGGCATGTGCCTGCCTCTCTTGCTTCTTTCCGCCGCCGCCTGCTTGCCACCCGCTCGCCTGCTCTCTCTCCACCGTCAACCGGACAGAGGTGCGCCCCCTCGCGTTTCTGTCACCGACCGACTGTCAAATTTCAAGCCTTGGCCCGTGGGGGGCAGCGGCAGGGGGCTCGGTGAGCGTAGTCCGTCGCTAACCACACACCCGTTGCGTGTGGCACCGAACCCCCGAGTGTCCGTCGGTCCGCGCGCCGCCAGCCAGGCGCTCATGCGGCTGCACGCCGCAGCCCCCGCTTGCCGCCAGCCTTTCTTGCTTTTGTCTTGCAGATAAGGATGGGAGTGGGAGTGGCCGGTAGTTTTGAGGAGGGGTTAAAGCAGCGAGTACATCTCTGTCAAGCGTGTTGTCTTGGTGCGGCCAGGGTTACGCCGAGAGCAACCGCGCAGGATTGCCCACCCTGGCCGCCGCCACTTCCTGGCCACGGTTGAAAGTTTCAATCCTTTGCCGCCTAGTGCCAGACGCTCTGCGTCCACATTGCTGCCCCGCACCCAGTCGTGCGCGTAGTTAATACTATGGGACTGGGTGGGATTCATGGGATTTGGCAGGTTGGTTGGAGGAAGTTACTGTCTGACTTGACTTCAGGTGCCCGTGCAGAGTTTGCGAGTTTCGCCTCTTAGTACAGCCACGCGTGTTGACTGTGCTGACTGCCTCTGCTAGCAGCAGCGCCGCCATTAGCTGACAGGCCATATGCTTCATCAGCAGCGCAATCCAAAAATCCTCCCCCTCCCCTCCCTCCCTCTCCCCATCCACCTCTCCCTCCCCATCCACCTCTCCCTCCCCATCCACCTCTCCCCTCCCCTTCACCTCTCCCCTCCACCTCCCCTCCCCTCTCCCCTCAACCTCTCCCCTCCCCTCCACCTCTCCCCTCCACCTCCCCCCCTATCCCACGCCCCCCCTGCTGTCCTCCTGCCCCGTTCTCCATTCCTCTGCCCGCCTGCCCTCCGCCCGCCGACCCCCCCTCATCCTCTACGCCTCTGCCGCCGTCTGCTGGGCCAGTGCCCCTCGCGGGCTGGAACTGAGCAGTATTGTGCCTCGAGTCTCGAACGAGGCCAGGCTTTATTCATACCTGCGCCATGCTGTCCTCAGCCGCGTTGTGGCATGCATTGTTTGCGGAATGCGCCGGAGCAGAAATCCCCGAATTTTCGCCCCACCATCCGAGCTTGAAACGTTTCGGAAGTCGACGCCTCTTTGGTTGACAGCGTCTGCCCCCCATTACCACACTCATATCCGTATGGTCAGCTCATACATATTTACGGATATCCCTCACACATCATAGGTGCGCACACCTAGTCTCTCCAGCCTCCTGTGTCTCTGCAGTGCCCTATCTTCTCTTTGCATCATCCTCATTCATCGCTCCTCGTTCTTCGTTTCATCGTCTAGATGTTCTGTCTTACTCCTCTTTGTCCTCCTGATCCTCTTATTGCCCTCCTCCTTCTCCTCCCACCAAGCCTGTGAAGCCCCGAAACACCTGCTCTGCAGATTTCCGAACCTCGAGTGAACGGACGAAACCCCAGCGTGTGAAACAAAAACAAATGAACGAGACCAACAATCACGAGCGAGCGCCAACAAAACAAGCGGCGAACGACTAACAACGACGCGTGCGAACGGCGACCGGCCACTCGGGCCTACTTCTGCGGACGGGGTTAGGAGGAGGGTTGATCCGTTCGAGAGCGTTCCAGAACGCTCTCAGACCGTTCCGGAACGCTCTGACAAGGCCGCGGCGCCCGAGATATCCCCCAGGGCCGCCAGATCTGAGAGATTATCGGTGCATCCTCACCCGATCTTATTCTCGTCCTGGCCTCGGCTTTCTTCTTTGACTCGGCCGCCTCCGGCGAGGACCCCGAGGCCGCCCTTCGGGAGCCTCGAGACGGGGGTCAATGCACAAACGGGGGTCAGCCAGAGCGCCGGATCTTGCAGGATCCTGCAGCGCCAGGGTCGCATTGACCCAGGCTTGGGTGCAGGATCCCGCAGGACCTTGCAGGATCCTTCGCATTGACCCTGGTTTGGGTGCAGGATTTTGCAAGGCTTATGTCGGGCGTGTCCCCCATACATGGGGGACTTTCGACGAAAAATAAAAGTTATCCCAAGAAGGTCAAAACATATTCAAAAAAAAGTAGTCCCCAGACACTATTTTGGGACTGCTTTTGAACATCCCCCCTGCAGAGGGACAGGCCCGACTTAATGCAAGGCCTGACTGACCCGGGTCTGGATTGACCCGGGTCAGAAGATTTGGACGCCCGAAATGGGTACTGAAAGAATGGGTACAATGCCCAACAGCAGTTCCTGTTCATTTTGAACCGGATCCGCTGTCCACGCCGCCGCGGCCTGTGTCCATTCGAGACAGGAGGCCGCCTGCCCAACAGCGGCCGCTGTTGGTTTGGGACAGCATTTGCTATTGGGCATCGTACCCATTTTTTCGGTACCCATTTCGGGCGTCCAAAGAAGATCCCCCAGCCCTGGTCGCCACCTGGTCGCCACCTGGTATATTCCAGGCCTCGATGTCGCCACGATGTTGGGGATTCCAGGTCGCCACCTGGTATCTCACCACCCGGTTTGGGGGTCCCAAACTCTCGCCCCCGTGGTGGCGCGCCCCCAGGGCGACCGCCTCGAGTTCTCGCGGGGCCTCTGGGAGGAGCTGCAGAGGCGCCGCCCCCGCGGCGCCGGCCGCCGCCGCCTCCCATGCTCTCTCCTCCTCCCCATCATCCTCCACCTCCCCCTTCTCTCCCTCTCCTTCCCCCCCTCCTCCCTCCTCCTCCTCCTCCCTCCTCCTCCTCCTCCTCCCTCATCCTCCTTCTCCTCCTCCTCCCTCCTCCTCCTCCTCCCTTCTCCTCCCCCTCCCTCCTCCTCCTCCTCCTCCTCTCCCTCTCCTTCTCCTCCTCTCCTCTCCTTCTCCTCCTCCTCCCTTCTCCTCCTCCTCCTCCTCCTCCTCCTCCTCTTCCTCCTCCCCATCATCCTCCGCCTTTTTGACGCTGAGCGGACTTTAGTCCCAAGATTGTAGCGTCTGTGGACAGTATCGCATGGTGCAGAAAAAAATCGTGTAATCGGCATAATGCCGAAATGAGCGGAAGTGGAGGTGCGCAGAGAAACGGAAAAAGCGTGGAGCCCGCGAGGTCAAACAGTATGAAGTAGATTTGCAGGCGTAGGCCAGGTAGTACCCATCCCCCAATTCCGTCCCAATGTTGTATTTTTCCCCCTCCCACTTGCAGCACAAAAGTTGTCACGGTTCGTTGCGTCACACTCTCAGAGAGCAACGTTGGTCGCTACACGGCACGGCAAACAGCGAAGCATGGCGCAACCCCTTCGCGACAAGGCATTGTGGATGGAGCGCGATAGGACGCCCTCGACACGATCCGAGTGGCGTTGGTCTTTCTCTTCCATCTCATGAAGATGACGTCTACCGCCTCCCGTAAGCCCTCACCGAGAGACATCGCGAAAGGGCAGATGTTACGATGCTCCTTGCCCTGCCCTCAACGTGGGTATTATTCTTAAATTGGTCCCTCACCAAGGATAAGGCTGCACACAGAGAAAACGCAGAGACGCCCCTACGGAAGCGCTGCCTGTCGATGTCGGCGTCCTCCTACCATCCATGATCTCGTCCCATTCACCACGCATACCGCCCTCCCAAATATCAAAGCAGGAACAGTCGGTCTGGCTGGCCTAGTGTGGCAATGCGCAGCTCTGGCGGTCAACATGCTCGCAGCGGTCGACACGCATATCCTTCTCCTCCACCACCGTAGCAATCTCACCTGAACGTCAGACATCCTCCAATCCTTAACAGGTCCCTCGGCAAGGGATGTTCCAGAGCCTTTGTTACGATGCTCTGTGCGGCCATACTGGGCATCTCATTCGGACAAATCAGCACTTCGAGGCTAAGCTCAAAAAACGAAAGCCGATCTCCCCCATCAGCTATACATCTAACATCCAGTCCATCCCCTCCCCTCCCCACGTCCCGGGAACAAAGACTGATGGCAGACCTGTTCCGAACCAGCTTTTCCCAGCTTGTCTCGTGTTCCCCCTCGAATTCTCACGTCAGATCCGCAGGTGATGTGGTTAATGTCCCCCTCCCCACCTTCGAGGGGACCCCCATGTACGTAGCCCGTTTGGGCTCAGTGCAGCACCACGTGTTACTGTACGTTCTCGCCCCTGGCCGTGATAAACCCGTCTCATCCTCTTGATATCGTCGCCGATGTGTGTGTGTGTGTTATCTTGTTGTTCACTCACATGTCTGTCGACGTAACGTGTGGTAACAGCGGTGAGCGGAGCTGCGGTTGTGGAGACACCGCGGAGGTTCAGGGGAATGTTACGACCATGGGAGAGGGCGCTCAGGCGTCGTGAGGCAGCACGAGCAGCGTGGAGAAAGCCGTAGAAACGGGTGAACATGAGTGGTTGTCTCGACCGTGGTGGGTGACGCATGATGAGGGAGACTGGTGGCAGACGACACCCAGTGATCAGTGTTCAAGCCAGACATTCAATAGAGATTACGGTCGTCCCCCACAGTGGTTGGGAGTGGATCATTGAGACATGTTTCGCACGAGCATCAATGTCTGGACAAACGAACAGCGTTCAAACCAGAACAGAGAGCCAATCAGGCATTTCCCGTCGAACTCCAAGCTAAATTGTATGGCCTTGCCACGCAGCGGTCGCAGGGCCCATAGGGTTCTTTTAGAACACTGACGTCGCGGGCAACTCTGCGTGGCGGGCGCCCTTGTGGCAGCGGCGAAGCTTGGGCTCACGGCCGCCGCCCTGCTTTTGGAGCGTGTCCTGAGTCCAATTAGATCGTGCCGCTGTGCAGTCGCAGTTCCCCGCGTTGCCATAGCTTTGCGCAGCTCCCCATGGGCTTCGAGGTCAGCAAGGGCTCTCGGGGGCCATTTGGCCAGTCCGATCCTTCCTTGGTGACGAGGCCTCCCCATGAAGTCAGAGTGGCAACACTTGTCCGTGAGAAAGCCGCCGTTGCGTCTTTGAGAGCAGCCTCTTTCGGACGTTGCGCGTGAGAAAGCGGCCATTGCATTTATGTTGACATTCATTGACGACGCGGCTCTTCTAGTTGAGGGCACGGAGGCCTTGACGAGTTGCAGCCTTGCTAGCGCTCAGAGAGGAGGTTCCCCAGCGGCTTGTGGTCTTTATGTCGATTGTGTTGTTGCTTTGCCTTCCTCGCCCAGTCTCGGCATCGTGTCTGCGATGAGCTCAAAGGCCAGGGTGCCAAAACAAGTTGTTCCCGGAATGGGGTCGCTTTGGGCGCGGTTGTTAGCGCTGGCAGGTTTCGGTCGGGTGCCAGGTCAATTCTTCGCATCAAGGCGGCGAAATGTTTTTTGGGATCCGGAGATGCCTTCGGGCTCTTGCTCCCACCAGTAGAGCAAGGGCTTGTGCTCAGCAGTGCGCTCAAATGCTTGACGCTTCGCGTATCTCTATCAGCTCTAGCTACTAGTTAGGCCGCTGTCGTGACCCGTAGCGCTTCTGACTCCGCTTGCGCCTTCGCTTGCGGACGCGACCAAAAGTATCCCTATCAACCACTGACGTGCAGCTGTGCACGCTGGCAGTTCCCCCCAGTCTCAGTCCCGGCAGCCCCCATCTGAGGCCTCGGCCGCGCTTAGTTGTCGCCTCGCCCGTCGCTCTGTTTATTTGTCCCGCGTTTCCTTTGCCTAATTCGTCTCTGCGTAGCCCGCTTTGACCTGACACGCCGCCGGCGCGCTCGCCCGCGGCCGCTGACTAAAAAATCCTTATCAGCCCATCAAGAAATGATGCCCATGAGAACTGACGGGGGCAGAAAGGAAGGGACACACATAGTCAAACAGCGAGGGAGGCCGATCTGGACGGCGTGTCGGGGCCATCTCCGGGCCCGCGTAAGGGGGGGGGGGGGGGGGGGCGAAGAGGAGGAGGAGAAGGAGGAGGTGGAGGAGGAGGAGGAGGAGGAGGAGGAGGCAAGAGGAGCAAAACGAGGAGAAAAAAGGACGAGGATGAGGAGGACGAGGACTACTAGAGTGAGGAGGAGGAGGAGGAGGAGGAGGAGGAGGAGGAGGAGGAGGAGGAGGAGGGGGAGGGAGGAGGAGAAGGAGGAGGAAAGAGAGGGGGAGGAGGAGAGGAGGAGGAGGAGGAGGGAGGAGAGGAGGAGGAGGAGAGGAGGCGGAGGAGTGGAGGAGGAGGAGGACGAAGGAGGAGGAGGAGGAAGGAGGAGGAGAGGAGGAGGAGGGAGGAGGAGAGGACGGGGAGGACGAGGACGAGGGAGAGGAGGAGATGGAGGAGGAGGAGGAAGAGGAGGAGGAGGAGAGGAGGAGGAGGAGAGGAGGAGGAGGAGGAGGAGGAGGAGGGGGAGGAGGAGGAGGGGGAGAGGGAATGGGAGGAAGAGGAGGAGGAGGAGGAGGAGGAGGAGGAGGAGGAGGAGGAGGTTAGACATGTTTCGCACGAGCATTCATGTCTGGACAACGAACAGCGCCCAAACCAGAACAGCGAGCCAATCAGACATTTCCCGTCCAACTCCAAGCTAAATTGTATGACCTTGCCACTCAGCGGTCGCAGGGCCCATAGGGCTTCTTTCGAACATTGACGTCGCGGGCAGCTCTGCGTGGCGGGCGCCCTTGTGGCAGCGGCGAAGCTTGGGCTCGCGGCCGCCGCCCTGCTTTTGGAGCGCGTCCTGAGCCCAATTAGATCGTGCCGCTGTGCAGTCGCAGTTCCCCGCGTTGCCATAGCTTTGCGCAGCGCCCCAGAGGCTTCGAGGTCAGCAAGTGCTCTCGGGAGCCATTTGGCCAGTCCGATCCTTCCTTGGTCACGGGGTCTCCCCATGGAGTCAGAGTGGCAACACTTGTCCGTGAGAAAGCCGCCTTTAAGTTTTTAAGAGCAGCCTCTTTCGGAGGCTGCGCGTGAGAAAGCGGCCCTTGCATTTATGTTGACATTCATTGACGACGCGGCTCTTCTAGTTGAGGGCACGGAGGCTTTGTCGAGTTGCAGCCTTGCTAGCGCTCAGAGAGGAGGTTCCCGAGCGGCTTGTGGTCTTTATGTCGATTAATTTTGTTGCTTTGCCTTCCTCGCCCAGTCTCGGCATCGTGTCTGTGATGAGCTCAAAGGCCAGGGTGCCAAAACAAGTTGTTCCCGGAATGGGGTCGCTTTGGGCGCGGTTGTTAGCGCTGGCAGGTTTCGGTCGGGTGCCAGGTCAATGTTTCGCATCAAGGCGGCGAATTATTTTTGGTCCGGAGATTCCTTCGGGCTCTTGCTCCCACCAGTAGAGCAAGGGCTTGCGCTCAGCAGTGCGCTCAAATGCTTGACGCTTCGCGTATCCCTATCAGCACATGTCCAGCGTCGTCAATTATCTGCAGGTGCACTCTGCGCGATGTCGCGCCAATTATCTGTCGCTGTGCCCCAGCCTCGGTCACTCCGCCCTCTGAACTTCTCCTTGCGGGCCGCGAATCAAAAAGTATCCCTATCAGCCCCTTCTGTTCCCCAGACGACCTGATTGACCCGCCCTCTGGAACCGTCCTTTGGGCCGCAGATCAAAAAAGTATCCCTATCAGCCCATTCAGAAGTGATGCCCATGAGAACTGACGGGGGCAGAGAGGAAGGGACATACATAATCAAACAGCGAGGGAGGCCGATCTGGACGGCGTGTCGGGCCATCTCCGGGCCCGCGTAGGGGGGGTTGGGGCGAAGAGGAG